ACAAACACAACACTGCGATCTATATTATATCTCCTTCCAGACTTGCCAAAACACACAGCAATGGTCCGTTATCGAAAAGGAAAATGCTTATCTTGAAGCATCTGTTCTGTTCATTATCTTCTGTTTCTAATAATAAGAGAAGACCAGTACTTCGAGATTTTTTTAAAAATAAAATAGGAAATCCATACAAGCCCAAACATTTAGAGAGGATGTGGTAGGTATCGGTCATCCTGAGCTCCACATGCCATTGTTATGATGCTTCTGGTCTTGTATGGTAACTTATTCAACTAGATCAACAGCATGGGATCTTTCTGTAGTTAGTCCTGTGTGTGTTCCTCTCCCCAGTTTCAGTAGGAAGGCTGTACCTCATTGCTAAGTGCTCTGTAATAGATCTCTTGGTGATTCTAACTTCGTAAAGAAGCAAAACCTGCAGAAGGTTTAACCTGCTGAAACTAACTTGATGCTCTCTTTAGCAATGACGTCTATATTTGTAGATCACATATATGCCTGTTTAAATACAATATCTTGACATGTGTTATATTTATGTTATATATTAAATGTTGTGCTGGGTTTATACTTTTTGGTTTAACCCACTTGTTTCTTTAACTTTTTTTGTTGTTTTCCTTTGGAGGCACAACCGGTGGCTTTATGCACAGGCATGGAAATGTAAGGTGTTTATTTTTTCTCAGTTTGTACTGTAAAGGCCCAATCTTTTCAGTTTCTGGCCGGTTTTTGTTTATGGCTGCTTGGCATCCTGCAGACACCTGCCCCCGAATCTCTGTTGTGTTTTCTTGTGCCTCTTTATATATATTTTTTTCTAACTTGTGTTCAATCATTCTTTTTCTCGTGTATCAGCCGGGTGTTGGTACTGCAGCTCTGCTTGTAACCACGTTAGTCTATGTTTATTGATTTTAATATCAAAACAATAAAAAAAAAACATTAGCACCCCACTCTGACTCCTGTTTTATTCTCTGTGACTCTGTTCTTACCCATCTTATATAAACTCTGTGGTTTTCAATGTTTTACAAGTATGTGAAACGGGTCTTTTTAATATATATACTGCATTGAAAATGTGTTGAAATTGAGCCCAGGAGATTCATAAGTGGCACCATCATGTGGGGAAATTCTTCATGATTAGCCCTTTAGAGCTACGACTCTGGATCAGACGGGTGGTTCATTTCCAAGCCTCTGCAGAGTTGCTGACCTGATGATGATGATGGGATTCAGCCGTCTGATTCAAGTCTGTTGAAGGAATTGGAAATTTGCAGCAGAGTATAGACCCCTGGGGTGACACAAGATGGTTTTCACAAAGATAATAAAGAAATTACTGTGAAAAAAGTAGATGCACTGCAAAAATGATCTAGAAATAAGACAATATTTCTTAAATTAAGTGTATTTACTCTTAATAGATAGTAGATAAATAAGATGATTTGCCAATGTAATGAGTATTTTTACTCATAAAATAAGATAAGATTATGTACTTGAAATAAGACAATACATTTGTTTTTTTTTTCTTATTTTAAATGTAAATTGTCTTGTTCCATTGGCAAAGTGTCTCACTTACCTCCTCAATTTAAAAACAAACGCACTTATTTTAAGAAAAATGACTTATTTAGATTAAAAAAAATTTTTTTTTCCAGTCATCAAATATTAATTTTATTATTTTAAATTAATATTTCTACAGTGACATCCTAAAAAGCATGAATGAATAATCAAAAATACACAAAATATAATTAACTTCACTTTATAGGTATAAATAGAATAAATGCAATGATGCATTTTTAGAGGGTTGCCAGTTTGTTGCATTGTAAATTTTAGGGGTAACAGTGTGAAGTGTCAGTGAACTCTGCTCTAGAGGAGCTACACAGTCTAGCACATGTTCAAAATCAGCCAGTAGTTTTTCCTACTTTAATAAATGTGGCTTTTATAGAACAGCAGCAGCAAAGCGATTATTGTGAGAAATTGTACGTGAACCCATTAGCAGTTTGCTACGCAACACATAGGGATACAGCAAACCTGGGATAATTGCTGTGATCAGCTTGACCAAATGGATCAACGTAGATACAAAATGTGTACTGCAAAGTTTTACAACAACCTTTTAGCTGGACCAGAAAGACTTTGAAGATGAATGGAGCAAAGCTTCACCTTCCAGCAGCATTACTACCCTGAACATGCAACCAGAAACAAGGGAATAGTCTCCAAAGAATGAACTCATGGAAGCTGAACAGCAATATTCACCACAATATTCAGATTAGTTTAAAAAAAAAAAAAAATCAAACAAAAAAAGGCACCATCACTCTGTCCCACATGAAACTGTAGCTTAAGCCATGAACAAAGTTTTAATCGACTGGAAGCCGAATGAATCCCTTCACATGAGAAATTTATTTATTCTTATAAATATACAAGATTATAGAAAACTGTTATTTTGAGCAGAAACATCCATCCATCCATCTTCTTCCACTTATCCGGCGTCGGGTCGTGGGGGTAGCAGCTTCAATAGGGAGGCCCAGACGTCCTTCTCTCCAGCCACTTGGGCCAGCTCCTCCAGGGGAATCCCAAGGCGTTCCCAGGCCAGCTTAGAAACATAGTCCCTCCAGCGTGTCCTGGATCTCCTCCTGTGCCTCCTCCTGGTGGGACGTGCCTGGAACACCTCACCAGGGAGACGCCCAGGACGCATCCTAACCAGATGCCCGAGCCACCTCAACTGGCTCCTCTCGATGTGGAGGAGCAGCGGCTCTACTCTGAGTCCTCTCCAGATGACTGAGCTCCTCACCCTATCTCTAAGGGAGAGCCCAGACATACTACGGAGAAAACTAATTTCAGCCGCTTGTATCCGGGATCTCATTCTTTCAGTCATGACCCAAAGCTCATGACCATAGATGAGGGTAGGAACGTAGATCGACCGGTAAATCGAGAGAGAGCTGAGCCAAAAAAGCAAAGATCTCAGCAGGAACAGAACTGATAAAATGAGCTGGACTACTTAGTGGATATAAGTGTAGATATGAAAGATTTTCTTGAAACTCTGACATGTTAGACATTTTTCAAAGCAAATTTATCTTTTTTTGAAAATATTTATATTTAATATTAATTTTCATTTAATATTTATTTATATTTCAGGTGTTTATAATGTTTCATTGGGGATGATTTATTTCTACCTAATTGATTTGGTGTATTTATTCTATACTTGCTTCATACAATCTGATTTCTGACTGTTTTTTAAGGTAATAGACTTTGGATGTAGACTGCACAGCCTTTAAATCTTTTCTAAGCTTTACACACAAATTTAACTAAGTGAACAATCCTGACAGAGTACACATGTTCATGTTTCCTGCTACAAAATGTTATCACCCACTGCTTCCCTTTTAAAATGTGTGCAACCAACATCCTCCCAACTTTAGACCATACCATGAAAACTGGATATAAATATTGGCGGTGGTTTAGTTCCTCAATAAAGTTGTTGCAATATCAAAAAATAAAAGAAAAAAATTGAAAAACAATTTTGCAACTGTTTTAAAACATAAATGTTTCACATTTTTTTTACTTTAAATAATCCTTTTTTAAATGTAAGATAAGTCAAACTAAGTTTGATAAGTCTATTTTAGAATAGGAAATATAAGTATTGAGTTTTATCAATGGCCAATTTTCAGGCACTTTAAATAAAAAACGAAACAGAACTAGATCAGCACTACTGGACTTTCTGGTATCCAGTGTTTTTTTTTTGTTGGTTTCATAAACATGGAAGAACTCCAGTTTAAAGATTCTCGTCTTTTGACCAAAGATAACTGTGGAAGAAAATGCATTCCCTCCTCTCCCATATGATTTAGTGACGCAAGAAGCAATGTCCCGGCAATTCAGAGACCAAGTAAAAATAATATAATCATTAACTATTTGCACACTTTCTTCAATTAAAGCAATAAACAGTATAAAACAGTAAATTACTGAAGTAGGCAATTGGTAAATTTGAAAATAAACTTACATGCGTCTTTTATGTACACATTTTTCTCATAATGGCGCCTAGGCGGAAGTTCAACTGAAGAAACTCATTGCTTTTCATACCTCCACCTTTGACACAGTCAATCAGCTTTGAACCAAACCTCCACGAAGGCCAGTCGGCACCCAAAGTTCATCTTAAAAGGCCTCCGATATGCACCTGTCTGCTCCTGTGTGCAGGCGGCGGAAGCGCTGTGACTTCATTCAGATGACACCGTTTCAACCCACCTCCAGCCCCTCCTCCACCATCGTAAGTAAAGCTCCATCAGAGCGTCAATCCTCCCGGACTCTCACTGCGTTTCCTGTCTTATCTTAACCGGTCCGGCAGACGACCGCCATGTTGAGCCTGGTTCTGCCAGAGGTTTCTTCCCAACGGGGAGTTTTTCCTCTCCACTGTCACTTCATGCTTGCTCATCATGGACAGGTTCTCTCAATCTGTGTTATCCAAACTGGACTTCTATCTTCCTGGTCCCTGAGTGAAGCTCTAGTATCAGCTCACGCAGTCCACTGGATCTCCCCCATTAAGCTCAGCGGACCATCTCTTTATCCAGCAGTCTACAGACTGACCAACTTCATCTATCTCCAGTCCACCACCACTTTCAGGCCTGGGGGAAAACAGCCCTATTATTTGCTCCTGTTCATTCATATCTATTAAAATTAAGCACTATGTTTCCTGCTGAGGTCGGGGTGCCAAAGACCAAGTAATTGTATCAATAAATTTCTCCTAATTGTCTTTTCTCTTTCTATGAGTTTTTGAGATTGAAATGGATTTATCAATGACCTGGGTGACTGAGAATCTTCACCAGCATTTATCAAAGAAGCGTTCTTTTTATTATTTTTTTTGTTGCAATTTTTACAGTAGTTTTTTTTTTTTTTTTTGTGGTAATATAATCTGACAGCCATTGTTTGGACTATGCAGCTAAAATCAGTAAACTACCCAAGAAGAAACCAAATATCTCAGCCAATAACCTCTTCGCCTAAAGCAAACCCGTTCATTTTAGGCCCTACGGCTTGCCGTACCAAAACAGAAATGGCCTCTTCGGAGGATGTTAACGTCCGGATTTGCGCACAAGAAATTATAAAATATGACCTGGAGATTAAAGCTCTCATTCAGGTAAGACTTTATACGTATGAATCATTGTTTTGTTCACAAATATCTTGTGTTTCATGGGAGGAGTTGACGCTAAACTCACACAGACGCTCTAAAATGTCGAGAGAAAGTGATACTAAAGTTAGCTTAGCAACAGTTAGTTCGAATAACTTTATTTACAGTATAGGTCTCTGAGTTTTATATAGGTTTCCTAAAATGTAAAGCTGTTTTTATGTAGATATGAATTAAAATTGCGCGATGTTAGCTAATTTTTTCTGTTTGAATTATGAAGAATAACGAATTAGTCTCGCGCTCTGAGTCAAAGCTGTCTGGGTAAAACATCTGCCTCCTATTTCTGCTTTCTACTCACAAGATAAAGTCTGCCTTTCTATGCAAATATCTACTGAAATATAAGAAAATATGGTAAAATTCTGCTGATTTTAAGGAAAAGACCAAAAAAGTTAAGATATGTAATAAAGAAACATTGGTTGTCTTGGTATTTTTGCACAGTGAGAACTTGTAAGTTATTATAATATCTTGGTTTAAAAACAAACTTGAAATTTTTACTTCTGCTTTTTAGTTTTTAGTACTGTCCTTAAAGTCTGTGTTTGATCTGCAGGACATCATTGTCTGTCCTGGACCTCAGGCAGCTCTCACAGAGCTTAACTCTCAGGTCAAAAACAAATTTAACAAGCTGAGACTCAGGATACAGGTAATGTCCTCTCCTCTCATTCATGATGTGCTGAAATATCTTACTTAAAAGATGAAAGTTTGTAGCATGAAGCCCTTTTTTCTTCCTGTTTTTCCTGCTGTCAGGATCTGGAGCAGATGGCTCAAGAGCAAGATACAGAGCTGGACAGGATGTCCATCCTCGCAGAGATGGAGAGCCAGAGACGCCAAATGCTGAGGTGACTGTTCATCCATTTATGCTCTAAATCGGGGATCTACTACTGGGTTTAGCTGGGTTCAGTCCAGCTAATATTACTCATTTAGAGCCATAAACATTACATTAACTTCTTTTTTTTTTTTTTTTTTTAAGAAAAAGGTAACCCATACTAATGGATAATTACCAAAGGTTGCTGATAGTTTTGGAAAACCTTGTTAAACCTTTATAGGGCAAGTAACTATTTTTGTTCACTTGCATACGTCTAGAAGTGCAAGATCTATATCCAGCCATTCAGCAAAGATCCTGCTACATGGCTGTACATCTTATTTTTGTATTTGACCAATTAGATGAGCGCTTGAATGATATATTACCTACTGTAAATTACGTGAAAAGAAGTTAACAAGTCGATAAAAAGGTAAAAAGCTGATTGAAAAGTTAAAAAGTAGAGTTAATAAGCCTAGTTAACAATTATATTTAGCTTTATAAACTAAAAAATATAACAAGTGCCAGTATCTGCATTAATGCGTCTAAGGTTATGTTGTGCCAAAAAACATTTTTCTTTCACTCTCAGTGAAAGAAGTCTTTTTTTATGAATTTCTTATAGAAGCACTTTTGTTATTTTTCGTAATATATTCGGGCGAGTTGGCGTTTTTTGTTATTACATTGACATAGATTTTTACCATCAGAATACCCATATTTTTTTAATGTTACAAAGAAAATAAGTTCTTGTCCTGGATTCAAATAACACTATTGGCTGTGCCTTATAAAGGGTTAAAAAAAATGTAAAGAATATCAAAAATATATATTCTGATAAAATTAAGGGTCAATTTATTATGGGAGTAGGAAAAAAATATGTCAGTCCAGTTAACTTGTAAAGAGAATTACCGGTACGTGACTTTTCACAAAATGAAAAAGTTAACTTGTGTGTATATATATATATATATATATATATATATATATATATATATATATACATTTATTACTAATAACTATTACTAGTAATATTTATTTATTACAGGGAATTTCGTCCTTTTTAAATAATCACAGTGCTGTTTAAAATGTTAGGTTTTCAATAGAATGAAAACACTCTCAAAAGAATAATTACGTTTTCAATAGATCATGTTGAAAAAAAAAATACTTTTAAAATATTTTGAATATATTTTCATGGGAAATTCAATGCTATCTGTCAGTGGAGATAATGCTAAAACATGCATTTGTTAAAATAGCTATTGTTCATAAAATTAGCTGACTCTTCATCATTTTCAGCTTAAGTGAGGAGAAGTCATAGTTAAGTGTCTAAAGAGCCACTCTAGCCGTCTGCAGTTAAAGGCTGCAGACCCCTGATCCAAATCATCCATCCATTGATCTACATTTTAATGTATTTATCATCTATCCCTCCATTTGTTTTCTTAAGCCCCTTTCCCACTGAAAATGCTTTGTTAATGCGTGTTTTTCAAACATTGGTCGATCCGCTACCAATCAGCATTTGGCTCCCTTGCCATTGGGAAAAATAGTCGGATCTAACCCCTTGCCAGCAGCCGTGTGGTCTCTGTACACCTGACGCTGGATGTTTGGTGACATCAATCTGGGTTGGTGTTGACAGAAATCAGGAAAGGAAACGGAGAGCAACATGTAAGGAAGCCAGGGTGTAGTTGATGTGCTTTATTGTTTCACTCTTTTAGCTGTCTGAATCCGTTTCACCAGTGCTGTGTTTACATGTTTAGCAAATGTAAACAGAGTTGTTTAGGCTTGATCAGATCAGACGTGTCTGGCGTTGCGTTCAATATTGTCACGTAAATTAGCAGGTCTGGTGTTTCCACAGCATGCCTATCCAAGCCGAGGCGGTTTTAACATGGATCGCTTGGCGAGTCGTTTGACCTAGGTGGACATGCATCAGCGAGTTGTCTCCACTGCCACTAAAAGCCGATTGTTCCCGGGTTTAAAGAGTTTTTTCTGCCAGTGGGAAAGTCTGATTATCCTGTTTTTTGCAGTTTTCTTAAAAACTACCTGACAGTTGTAGATTATTACGGCAAATTCATTTTGGCGTTGCTAGTCTAAAAGTAAGTGACACTGTGTTGCTGGAAAGGATTTATTGTCCAGCAGAAGAATTAGCTAGATTCATGTATGTAATGAAGCTTCAAGAGGAAACAAGGAAAACACAGATAAACTGCAGATTTCAGTTTGTTTCTGTTATTTTTGTGGATTCCAGCAATCAGACGGCATGGAGAAAAGCCAACTTGGCCTGTAAACTAGCCATAGATAAGACGGAAAAAGACGAGCTTCTGCACGGAGGAGACAGCCCAAGCACCAGGCAGAGGTCAGTAAAGTTCTACCGAGGCTTCCTTGGCACCAAAACGGGTCCCTGAGTGTTTTGTCATTGTTGATTTAACCTCTTTTTTAAAAATTCCCAAGATATCACAGCTCATGCTAGGTGCTTGTTTCCTTCCACAAACTGGTGAAATTCCTGCTTTTATAGAGGTGTTTGATTTGCAGAAGCTGGCTGCTGCTTTTTCTCTACTTTGACTTTTTCTTTGTTAAATCTAACATGTGGGTATGTGGATTTTTTTATGTATTTTTTTGTTACTTATGAGGTTAAACTTGCATCATTTTTAAATCTAGTAGGTTTATTAAGTGTTTGTATGTAAAGTCACAAGCTTTTATGGACCAAAGCATTTTGAAAGACCCTCAGTCTGAGTTCTTATTTTAGTAGCACCTTTAGCTGCCATCCCCTTTGCCTTTCTTATGTAGTGTGTTTAAGATGGTCCAAAATACCTTTTCTCCTTTACAAAAAGAACAAAACCAACTGAAGCTCAGTAAGATTGCATTATGATGTTGCCCTAGGTGCATGTTTAGGGTTGTTTTGTGTTTTTTATTAATTAATTTGTTTTTATTCCTGCTTTCGATAGCTTTTCTACATCCTACCTGTAGATAAAATGATAAAGTTTTCTTTAAACAGGGAAATTGTTTCATCTTTAGCTCAACCCTGTGTATGTGTGCTCACCACAGGAAGGTGACCAAAGAAACGTTAGTGGAAAGCAGCAGCAGCATCACAGAAAGTTTGATGTCCATCAGCCGGATGATGTCAGAGCAGGTGAAGCAGAGTGAGGACACCATCGGCACTCTTGGTAAAGAAACATCCAAAATGTCTTCCATCTTTTTCTACTGTTTGGTTTCCTACCCATGATACCTCTCTTCTCTCATCCCCATGGCAGCTACCTCCTCTAGAACAGTGCAGGAAACCAACGAGGAGTTCAGAAACATGACGGGAACCATCCACCTGGGGAGGAAACTGATTTTAAAGTACAACCGCAGGGAGCTCACAGACAAGCTGCTCATCTTCTTGGCTTTAGCGCTTTTCTTTGCCACTGTGCTCTACATCCTGAAGAAGCGCCTCCTCCCCTTCATTTAACGAGCCGCCTGGGTCTGCATCTGCTTTATAAGGCGTCCTCAGGAGTTTTGAGATGAAGAGGAGTAGAACAATCAACCACATGGGGCAGGAGCAGCATTAAGAATGTGTGGCTACAGAAGGCAAACGAAAGATGGGTTGGTTTAGAAAATGAGCGTTTTCTGCCTGATTGTTCTTAAAACAACATTTTGACATGTTCTAACACCTGCCGCTCCGTATGATGTGCCTAGCTTCCTTTCTTCCTAAACAAGGATGCTGTTTTTAAAAAAAAAAATCTCTTAATGACCTCAGTGTCATGTCAGCCACTGTTCGGTATGATATCACTTTCAGAAATCTGGTGAAAGGACCTTTAGAAACTCGTTGAGGTTTACCATCATGTGAAGATTTGTTAATATTACCGTACATGTAAACATTTTTGCACAGATGTGTTTTCTTACAGCTGTGAAACGAACCTTTGAGATGCACATTTTTGTGAGTTTTGCACATGTAGGTGGAATTATATGGGCACCATCTTTCAGAAAACACAAAAAATGTGCCAGATTGAACCTCATATATTGTACTTAACCTTGAAACATCCGGACTTCCCTGCTTTTCAACATCTATAAAGGGTATCGACACACACGTAGGATGAAGGGCTTATTATTTGAACAAAATAATCTATAAAATATTTCTCAGGGCATTGTTATTGATATCAGAGTTAGAGATGTCCCCATATAGCTTTTTCTTTTGGGATATAAGGGCGGTATCGCGGCTTTGGCTGTGCGATATTGACCTGAGGCAATAGCAGAATTTCTTTTTTATAATTTTAGGAAATGATCAAGTGATATTACTCAGAGAATAATAGAACAATGGGTAATAGAATGACACACCCATTCATTATTAACTATTGGGTTACAAAAACAAAGTGTTTTTTTTTTTTATTGGAGATTTAAGTTGCAGGGTGTTTATAAGGGCAGCGCCTTTTATGGCAGCAAGGCATCGCACACCGCGTCCCCCCATGTCTTGGACGGGCTGTACCGAAACTGAATTTCCCTTCAGGGATTAATAAAGTACAATTAAATTGAACTGTCTTGGAAAGGTTACAGATTCCCTGGTTTGATTCCAGACCTGCAGAGACTGAGCAAAACTCTTCGTCTCAGAATGCTAAAGGTGCATTTGAAAGACAGGCATCCTAAAATAACTCCACAGCAACAGCACCACACTTGCAGCAATGCTGTTGGTTGACTTAATGTGCTTAGTGTTGGATGTCTAAGGAAATTCGAATTAGCTTAATAAAATCTTCGTAACATGAAAGATTTTTAAGAAGTAATGTGGAAATAGGTCAAAATGGAGAGCATATTAGGAAATATGCATTTAAAAAGGTCTTAGAAAACCAGGAAAAAGCTGAGATGGATTCGATTTTCACTCATTTCTGCTTTACGTTCCAGCCCCTACTGCAGTTTACTAGTTTGATCCGTCTCTGAAACTGTATGATTTATAGATTAAATATACTTTTTTTTTTTTTTTTTTATAACCCAAAGTTTGCCCTGTGAATTTTTGGGCTATTCATACCCCTGACTTTCATTATGCTTCAGCAGGTTAATTTGTCAGTTCCCTCAAACATTTTCTTTAAACAGAGATTTAAATTAGTATTTTTCTTTAACTATTCGCAATAGACCAGGGGGTGAAAAGAAAACTTTCATTCCGTAATCCTTTCCTTATTTAAAGTAACTTTGAAAAAGAAGTCAGCCTTAACTGTTTAAGCTGGGAACTTATAGGTTTAATCCTTCCTTCTTCTGCTGTGCACTTCTGAACCACATTTTAATGAAATTATAAACCATTAATTCAGACCTGTGTTCTATCGACATTGATCAGCAGTCTGTTGTAACATATACTGCTTTTTTTTTTATATATCCCATCCCTAGGTGATGGTAGGAATCATTTTGAGATAATAAACCATCCATGCATTTAGGTGAAAGTCTGTTCATATTTATTTATATTTATACAGATTAGTCAAAGCAAATACTGTGGCATTCTTCAAGACTGGAACTGTTGGCATTATACAGAAAACTGCACCATGAGCTGAAAGCTAATGACGATTTCAGAGCATTTGGAGAAAATGTTGACTGAAAAATGACCTGCTGGCTCTGCAACAAACCGCTTAGAGAATCACATTTAATGAGGTCTGCCTGATGTGTTTGGAAAATAGTTTCTATTAAAATGATTTTTAAAATGCTGTGTTTGTTTTTCATTTAAAAATGAATCTAAAAACAAGATTTCACAAGATGCATATTATTTTTATATTATATATTTATCGTGTATCCATTCTGATCGGATTCCCCAGTCAGATGTCTTTTAGGTGTTCTTTTCTAAGATAAGTGTTGAAATAGGTAAAATATTCCCCAACGGACAGAAAAATATACACAAATGCATGTATTTGCATCTACATGTATTTAAAGCACCTGTTTTATGAAGCTATTGCGAAAATAAAGCAAATGTTGCAAAAACTAAGGAAAAAACTTAGATGCATGTAGGTGTAACATTTCAAGATAAAAAGTCATGAAAGCAACTATCAGACCACCCGTTTCGTTTTCTGTTTTTGCATTAAAACGCCTTCAGATCAAGAAATGGAGAAAAAGCATGGGTGGTCTGATCATTTGTTTAAATGCCTGTACATTAGTTGTATACATGATGCACAAGTTGCTAATAAACACAAAAAGAAACGTAATATTTAGCCATCAGTTGCTCATTAGCTAAAAACAAATTGTCCCTGTGTTAACGAGTTAGTGTGCCACTCTGAAGAAAAAAGTAATACTGGAGCGAGGTAGATTAATGGCTTTCTGTCCTATAACTGTTCTGAAAAAATATAAATCTACTTATAACACCCACACACTAAATAAATATTGCTACATTGCTTTCACTGACAACACTAAACAGAAAACCCATCTTACATAACTTTTTTTTCTTATTCTACGGATAATATAAGTGCTTAATGTTTGTGTACCCTGGGTGCACCTGTGTAACTCGTGATATAAGAGGCTTCAAGACGCAGTGAGATCAGATTTGGTGGTGCGGTCTGTCAGCCTGTCAGAGGTCATGTCTTCTCGATCAACCTCGCTGGTAGGATGCTGCAGAGGGTCCACTGGGGTGACGGGTCCGGTGACGAAGGGGGGTGGACTGGTGGGGTCAGATTGACTGTGAGGGCAGGTGTTTATAAAGGTGCTGCAGAGCCCCCCCAGTGTTGCTCACACTGTCCCCGTAGACGGCGTCCGACCCAGGTTCTGATCTCGCCGCCACACTTTAACAGGAAGTTCATTAGTTCGACGTACGGCCTGTTAGGGATTTAATCACACAGATAACCTGGTGTCAAACTTTGGAGGTGATGTTAATGGAATAAAAGAAATACCAAGAGAAAGCATTGACTTTAGGATGATTTTCATCAAGTAGCCATTAGGACTGTGGCAGCAAAAGGTAGCAGAAAAATCCAACTGAGTAAAAAGGAAAGCAATAGAGTGGAGAAAAAGTAAATAAAGTGCAGCGCCTTGCAAAAGTATCCCTGCAGCTTAAGCTTTGATGGTTTGTCACACTGCAAACAGCAGAGAGTTTCAAATACGTTATAAAAAACACTGTTATATGAGGCTACTGTTTTAGGGGTGGTTGGGATTAATAATTAATTACTTTCCTCAGTTTTTGCCTTTATAAACTGATAACTGAGTCTATCCAAAATGTGCATTTAGTGCAGGGGTCGGCAACCCAAACTGCTCAAAGAGCCATATTGGACCAAAAAAACAAAAAATAAATCTGTCTGGAGCCGCAAAAATGTAAAAGTCTTATACATGCCTCTTATGGAAACATGGGCTCCAAGTGTATTATCCCACTATAGAAAATGACTATGTGGGCTTAAATATATAATAAGCATTCATGATTAAATCTTTATCCTTGAGCAAATGTCACATAGCAGCATGAGGTGAGGGACGAGCAGTGATCGCTCTCATCACGCGCTGCGTCACAACAATGAAAGAAAATGATTCGGTCTATTCTTTGAATCCTCTTTTCTCATCAGCTATCTTCCTTTTTTCCCCTTTGGGATCCATGGTCCGAGACACTCCAGCAGCTTTGTTTGCCTGGCACCGCGCAGCGCTGGTTGTAAGTTATGACCACTGATCTCTATGGCTATGACGCAAATTATTGTTTAAATTTATTTATTATACAAATGTTTACAGCATTAAAAAACGGAATTATTTTTTGTTTGACCTCCTGCACACCATATTAAAACAAACAAAAAAAAAAAAACGATTTTCATAAATTTTTGAAAAAGCTCCACGGAGCCGCAAGGGGAACGCTAAAGAGCCGCGGGTTGCCGACCCCCGATCTAGTGCATATCTAAAAAGACTTGCACAAAAAAAGAAAGGTTTATAATGGGAAAACTTGATGACAACTGATGACATATTTAGCCACATGACGTCATTCAACTGCTGGTTGTCTAGGTGGTGTCATGAAAATGATGTGGGCTACATTAATAATCGGGAATCCTTTTGGGAGGGTGTAGACCAGGGGTGCAGATCAGGAAGGAGAGTTGTAGTTTGACACACCTCTCTACAGCTTCTCTACTTATTACTCCATCCAGACAATGTCTTGCCCACGACCAAAATCAAATAAATTAGAAAGGAATGCTAAAGGAGTAAATCATGATAATCTGATTAAGATTAAAATGACTCTATTACGAGGAAAAAGTTAAAATTTTGAAATGTTGTTTCCAGATTAACAAAGATGGCTTCCATGTTGAGCCATGCGCACAATTGCATGGCTCATCAAGTTTACCCCTTATGAACCTTCGAAGTCTTTTAAGATATGCACTGGATGGTTGGAGCTTGGCCTGTTTTTTAGTGTAGTCCTGTTTCTCTGACACTCTAGGAGTGTTTGCTTAGTGGTTAGAGCAGTGCGCTTGTGCACTGAGAGGGTTAGAAGTTCCCCGGTTCGATCCCAACAGCCTCCACTCTGGGTCTCTGAGCAAGAACCTTAACCCCACAATGCTCCCCGGGCGCCACACAGTGGCAGCCCACTGCTCCTCAAGGAGATGGGACAAATGCAGAGAGTTTATTTCTCCATTTCAAGATCAATGAAGTTCTATTGTCTATGTCTGACTGCGACTAACTGTATGTGTTCTCTTTCATCCTCTGACATGGGAGCTGGCTCGGAGCCTCGCTGAGTGTTTTCCTGGACGGGGCCGCATGTGGAGCTGGTTGACAGTAACCTTTAGTATCTCTGCTTCTTTCTGTATGTCTGCTTCTGTCTCCTTGCACCGCAGACGGCCGCTCACACTGAGCCTGGTTCTGCTGGAGGTTTCTTCCTTTTGAATGGGAGTTTTTGTCTCCCCTGTCACTACTTGCATGCTTGGTGTGAAAGATTGCTGTCCAGTCAATAAGTTGATGCAATTGACTGGTTTTCCTTAGGTTTGAATCTGACTGTATGATCTGGTTGAATTGTCTCTGTAAAGAGCCTTGAGATATGCAGTGAATGATATGCAGTGAATTGGCCCTTTTAAAATAAAGAGAATTTAACCTAAAAGTTTTGCATTTAAAAACTTTGAAGCAAATCTTCAGAATCCATTGAATTTATGGGATGATACTAACCAATTTCTGATATTAAAAGATATTAAAGCTTTAAAAAGCTTGTAAAAGGGCAAGGATTCACTGCTCCACATAAAAACCAAAAAAACAACTTTGCATGGGCCTGCTTTTCTCACCCTGCAGGAAACATAAGTTGGAACTGGACCAGGTTCCCCATGGTGTCCAGGTGATCCCGCACAGCAAGGCAGAGGTGGTGTTTGGAGTAGCACTCTCTCTGGAGTGAGAACACCATCTCCTTCACTGCAGAGCAGCGGCGGCTCACGCAGCTGAAACGCCGACGCAGTCCAAGCGCCATGCATCGAAGTGCGTCCTTTACATATGATTTACCCTGGGATAAAGAGAGACAGAGTTGGTAACATAGGAGATGAGATAACCAAAACTAGTAACAATTCTTCATGGTATTAATTCTTCCACAGTTTCAAGCCCTGTTAATTTCTCCTTAAATTCTTTAATTGACATTTTCCTGTGGGAATGGCATGTATGGGTTCTACTTATGAAAACATTTTTCAATCATTTCTATAGATGCCAAACAGCTCTTAGTGGAGGAAATATGATTGTGTGGGAATAAACATCACTAAAAGGCAAATTCAATAGAGAGAATTATCAAGTTGGTGTCCTAAAGTTAGGATTTAATCCTCTCCAGAAATCTGTTTATAAAATCTTTGTAGCAAATACATTCATTCCTATTATCTTAGAAAAAACACCTAATTGAAGGTAATTGTAGGAGAAGTCTATTAAAAAAAAAGTAGAACCCACCTTAGATCATGTAAGATGGCCCAGTGTGTTTACGAGGGAGATAAAACCCCCCAGCTGTGTGTGGTTAATGTAATCAGATTGTGGACTTGGATAACATGTATAAACAACACACAGGCGATTAACCCAGAAATGCTATTTTCAAAACTTTTTCCAGTGATTATTTGCATGCAGCATCTGCAGAACACATGCAGCACACCATCTACCGCTCCACATCGCTCTGTGGAACCCATGAACTTGCTTCACTTTGTTGTATATTTCTATTCTAGTAAAGTGGACATGCTGTTCCCTCTCCCATTTCAGATGCCCTCTCAGATTGTTCTGTAACCAATGCTACCACCCATAACCATTCCTTACTCTGAATATATACATACTACATGCATTCCTCGCAAACGATCTTAATGACTGACGGGATTAAATGAAATAAAAACTCGTATCCAGAGCTGCTTTCTCTAACCCCCCGCTTTAAGATCTTGATTAACTTAATTTCGGTGTTACTGCCATATGTCTGAGAGAGTGATATGAGCCCAGTCATTCCCACCTGGGAGTCGTAGCGTCCTGCGTTGTGCAGCAGAGTGAGGCATATGTGGTGAAGGCCGTGGATCTCACAGGAGTTGTTGCTGAAACACTGAAACATCCCACAGCCGACATCCCCTGAACTCACCAGGCAGCTCTGGATTTCAGCTTAGGCACACAGAAAAGATGCAGTGAGGTCACCACTAGCCTTTCAATACCACAACAGGTACAAATTGTCCCGTAGGTTTTCTTGCTTTCAACATGCCTGAATCAAACGAACGACTCCTCTGACGGGAGGAAGAAAATTAAAACCTCCCAACTAGAGTTGCACAGGAAAATCTCACCGTTTGCAACATGGTAATTAAAACTGGTAATTAAAAATCAAGGCTTGGATGCACCGGGTTTAAACAGTGTAGTGGCAGTGCATTCACAGTTTTATTGCTAGAATAATATATCGGGCAACTGGGTTAGACTCTGTAAGGCAAGGCAAGGCAAGGCAAATTTATTTGTATAGCACAATTCAGTACAAAGACAATGCAAAGTGCTTTACATGATAAAAATACAGGAAGATAAAACAGAATCAAAGCAACTAGGAAAAAAATAAATAAAATGAAATAAAAAATGCAGAAACAAAAAAGAAAACATGTTTTAGTTGAACTGTTTAACTAGAACAGTTGAAGGCAATCCTAAACAAATGTGTTTTTAGTCTTGATTTAAAGGAACTCAGGCTTTCCGCACTTTTACAGTTTTCTGGAAGTTTGTTCCAGATAAGTGGAGCATAGGAACTAAACTCTGCTTCTCCATGTTTAGTTCTGGTTCTAGGTATACAGAGCAGGCTGGAACCAGAAGACCTGAGTGGTCTGGAGGGTTAATACACTGTTAGCAAGTCTGTGATGTATTTAGGTGCTAAGCCATTCAGAGATTTATAAACTAACAGAAGTATTTTAAAGTCTATTCTCTGAGATACAGGGAGCCAGTGTAAGGACTTTAGAACTGGGGTGATGTGCTCTACTTTCTTAGTCTTAGTGAGGACACGGCATTGTATGCCTTTGATACACAGACCCAACATTTTGATAATGTAAAACAAACATAACAAAACAAAAAAACAAAGATGAGGAGTAAATTATGGATTAATCAAAAGTGGTTTTGCCACCACAACATCAAACTGTATTGTAGCCACAAATTTCCCTCCAACTGTGCCTCCCTGTTCCTGATCTTATGTGTTAAAACCACATGTGATACAAGCAGCTGTTCAGCTCCAGTTCTTCTTTGTGGATTTAACTGAAATAAAACAAAATAGAATCCTTTTAAATTTCCGATACCAACCGAACAGTGTTCATTTGCAAGATAGGAAGCACTGAAGAACAGTGCGAATATAATTCACTGGTAATATAATTGTATAAGCGGTAATAGCAAGCAGAACTGCTAGAGGTTTAACTTCAGCCTCTGAGCCAATCCATCCCATATTATGTCATTTTCTTTTGACCTGCAAAAAAAAAAAAAAAAAAAGAATTTAGATATTTTAGCTACTGCTAATGTATTACATTTTCCCTATTAAGATAAATATTGGTAGAAATAAATATATAAAAATTGTCACATCTCATTTAGAACTAACTCAACTATATAATTTTTTCAAAATATGTAGGTTGGATCCTTCATTCTATGACTTTGGCCTTGATTCAGATTTTTTTTCCAGCTGTCTTATAAAGAATGACAGAACCAAAATAATTAGGGATGCACGATATTGGGATTTTGCCGATATACCGATATTTTACAACTCATGTAGCCGACAGCCAATATCGATACCGATGTTAAAGCTGGACAAAAATAAGTAGTCATTGAAAATAGCAGTTTTGTTATCCATTTCTGACACTTTGAAAAATAATATACTCAAATATATTTTCATATGCTGATATCAAATTGATTTTTAAAAACGCGGTATCGATCTATTTTACTTTCAAAATCTCGTGAAATTTCATCGTTCTGTTAAAAACTCTCGTGATATTTTGCAAATTCTTGTGAGATTTTGTTAGTAAAATAGATCGATACCGCGTCAATATATCAACATATAAAAATATGGCAAAATTTTGTGAATTTTCGGGGGATTTCGTAGCATAACGATGACATATAGCAATATTTTATTAGTAAAAGAGATTGATATGGTGTTTTTAAATGGCAATATATCAGCATATGAAGATATTGTGATATTTTAATGTATCAAAATTTTTTCCCTCGTCTTTAGAAGTTTTTAAGTCTGTGAAAAAGAAGTTTTTGAGGAAGACTTTAGACTTTAGAAACTCAGAAGCTGATCAAATATCAGGTTAAATATCGGTGGGGTGGCCGATGTCCGATATTAAGTTTTAAGGCCGATACAGGCCGATACCGATAGGGGGCCGATTATATTGTGCATCCCTAAAAATAATAGAAGGACCTCCTGGTGGTGTGTATGATTAAGTGAAGTTACAAAACCAGCTTTCCTTTAAGTAGAATACAAAATCACAATAGATCACCCAATACATGCAGTTTTATTTGATCATCATTAAAGTCAGGTCTGAAAAATAGTTTGTTAAGTTATGGATAGGCAAGGGAAGGAAAACATCTACATCCCCAAACTCCATCTCCATTTAAGCCAGTTTTATCCTTGCAGCACAGCAACCTGATGCAGGAAGTTAGAAATGCAGAGATTTAAACTTTATAAGCTATTAGTTCAGAATCAGTGGACTTTTCCAGACCTGTCTATAGAAATTAGTTGCTTTAGTATTTATGTTAAAATCAACAACTTTAAAAGCTCCTCCAACAAATAATACCCTAGAATTACTTCTAAGTATTGTGAATTTTTATTAAGAGTGGATGAATATAAATCCCATATACTAAGCTATATACTTTATAGGTTTATTTAGCATAAAATGCAAAATAATTTCTTAACCTTTCTTACTTTCTTTATGGATCCTGCCAAAAATATATTCATTTATTTCTTTTTTGCACCTTTTCATAGTTTTATGTTGGACTTGAACTCAAATTTAACACTAATAAGCTCAGATATCTGTATTCAGTACCTCAAACGTTTCATATAGACTGTTTTTGCAATTACCTGAGAACTAGGACAAGATTTCTGACAGACTTGATGAACAACAAAAAGAAAAAAAAGGAAAAGAAAAGAAAACAACTAATTTAAATTTCAGTACCACAGATAAAAGGTAGATGCTTTTCAGGTTCTTGTACGTTGTAATCTAATTTAAAATAATAAAACAATCATCTCTCACTTGTCTGCTGTCAACTGTTCACTGAAGAAAAAAAGCAACTTTTTTTTGCAGCTACTTAATCATTAATTACTTTAACAGAATTTTTTCATGTTAGCAGGTCAGGACAAAAAACAATTGTGTTAAAATAACTAAATATGATTAGATGAGATGAGATTCAACTTTTTGTCAACACACAGGTACAAGGCAACAAAATGCAATTTAGGTCTAACCAGAAGTGCAATAGCAGCAAGTGCAGGATAAATAATGGTTCCATAAATACAGGACATGGGTTTCTACTGAATAAATATAGAGATGAACACCATTATAAACAGAATCTTACTAATAGATTTGTCCTATTAATATAATATAAAGATAACTAGTGTTATGAACATTTAAGCTGGATACTACTACTGGATATTACTAAAAAAGGGTTTTTACAGTTATGTACAATAGCATAATATACAGATGGCTTTTACTATAAAATTAATAAATAAAGTTTGGACAGAAGCTATCTAAATTAAAGTGCAGTGGAAGGTAATTGCATATTATCTTTAATTAAATGCCAAAAACGGTTGCAGATTTTTTTTCAGGATTATAGTTAAAATATAATTGGTAACTAAGCAGAGCAGCTCATTGGTTGCAGATTTTCTCTGTATAAAACATAGCAGGTCAAATGATTTTAAAGATGGACAAGCAATAAATTGATCAGTAGTTCAGTTTGCAGCAAAAATTCTGCTCTTATGGAGATTTTTCTTTCCTAATGTCAGACCCAAATGTGAATCTCTCCATCTGAATGTAACTTAGCGGTGAACTCACCTGTGCTATGCAGGGAGAGGCGCCTTTTCACCTGGCCCCCCTGTTTCTCCAGGATATGATCATGCAGCTCCATGGCCAGCAGCTGATTAAAGCCCAACAGTAAAAACATCACCGCGGACACGTTTACCTTCATCTTCTACTGAGTTTTTTAATGTTTATTTTTCTCTAAAGGCTTTAAGATTCTGTTTAAATTCCCAGCTGCTTGTGTTTCCTGGACCGTTGTGAGTTCAGTGCGGCGGAAAAGCGGGTTTATAAACCAAGAGGGGCTGTGCGCGTGCACCGGACTGAACGGAGCGTGCGCCTCGACCAATCACAGCGCTGCTCCGTGAACGCGCAGCACATGTGGAGCAAAGAGTTTCTCGTGTTATCAGTGAAGGAACATCAGTGTGCCAAATGCATCCAGCTTATTTGTATATCACACTTTTAATCCGCTGCACAGCTGACGAGGCAGAGGCAACAGGAATATTATATAGCAAGATTTCACCAAAAGTCTAATTATTCCTCTGAGATCACACACTGCAGGGGCTGCGTGGAAGTCAAACACTTTCTATGAGCGTTTACAGCTGCTCCCTGTGCAGGGAGAATACGTGCAACCAGAAACGTAGGAGTAGCATAGATGTAAAGCAATGGTAGGAGTATGGCAGGACATTTTTTAATGTAAGATTAAGTTTCATTGTCCAGTTACTCATAGCAATAACATTTCTGTTTGTCAAAATAACATTTTACTTATGAGACTTATATTTCTACAGGGGCAGAGCTAGATGGGGGGCCAGGGGTGACCAGGGCACCCTTAAAGGAAAAAGCGTTTTTTTTTTTACATTTTTTCCTGGATTTTACGTTATTACATCATGCTCTGCTCACCCACATGATATGGGATACATTGGTGTATAAATTGATTTTCTTGGTTAGTACATCCACTGACTGTAAAGTTACCTGTGAAAAGTCCTCCCACAGGTTTAAAGGGGAACACTGTTCTTTTTTACAGGTTGTAAAAAATGCTTAAAGTATTTATTACAAATACTATTACAGGTTGTAATAAATACTTTGGCCATAAATACTAAAGCATTTATGGCGTACCATAAATGATAAATTATGAACAGTTTAGTTTGTGCCTTCAACTTGTTGCCCATAGGAAGACGTTACCTGGATATAACCTAACGGAATATCTTCAAAACAGCTCCAAATGACAAAAAACTCATATGGGTGAGTAGAACGTGATGTAATAACGTAAAATCAAGGGCCCAATGTAAAAAAAAACAGCGTTTTCCTTTAAGGGCTGGTTACTCTCCTGCAGCAGTGTGTCGCAGTGAGCTTGACACAGACATTTTTGATTTATGCTCAGTTTTGAAGCGTAACATGGCGGCGAAAAATAGTGGGGATCCAGGTGGAAAAAGGGTCCCAGCGTTCTCGGGCAGCTTGATCTTCTAGCTGGTCAAACTTCACAAGTTATTTTCCACAATTTCGGTCATGAAAACAAAACAAGCCGGCCTCCTGTCTGCGGCACTGTCTGCGGTCAGTTACAATTTGGAAGAGTTGCAGCGGAGTGTCTGCAGAGGGGGCGGGGACAGCTTATTGTACACTGCAACACCTACTGGTTTTGAAGTATAAATCAGCCTTTAGCCAATCATTGGCCACCCCTGTGTCCACCCCTACCATTATTTCCCCCTCTAACACAGATGGTGGCAACAGTAATACTCTCCAGTGGAATATTCAAAACATTAAAATTGTTCAGATATTACTCACTATTTTTTATATATTAATAATTACTTGACAAGAAAAACACTGTGGTTAATATACATATCAATATACTAACATTAAAGATGATAAGTACAGAATTCATGTTCTTTTCAGAACTAGATTTTGTGTTTTATGGGGTAAAGAGAAAATTAAGTGTCTCTGCAAGCCATCAAGGAGTCCTCAGTAAGATCATAGATAAATAACTTTGGGGATAACTAACGTTTTTAGTAAATAACTTTAATAAAAATGTATTAAATTATCAATTGATGTAGATATTAGTGCTTGTAAATATCAATTTTATGCAGAATGATTATTGATAAAAGTAGGTAAGTAATGACAATGGAAAGGACGTTTGCCCCAGAACTCAAGCCAGAAAGAAATGTATCCACTATACCTTTTATCTAGAAAGCACAGATCTTTAAATATATGCCTCTATTTGTTAGCAAAGGCTGTCGGAAAGTATAGTTTGTCTTATCTTTGGCTTTACCCTGAGGTTCTGGAGTCTATCCGCTTTTATTTTTCATATTTATTTTTTTCCAACTCCAAGCTGTATAAACCTGAATGCTTACTGGATATAAGCAAATCAGCTGATGTTTACATGTTTATTGAGGGAGGATGGATGCCTAAGGAGATCAACACCTTTTATTAAGGTGTGCACAGTTATTAGGCAGCGTCGTATCTCAGGCAGATAGATTTAAGTCACTCTGGAAAAATGAAAATTTTTATTGACTTTCAGGGGGGATGCAGCACTCTTGAAAGTGCTAAGATATCAGCAGAGAAAAATTATACTGAAGTAAGAATAGCACTACTTAGTCAAATTTTTACTTACTTTTTTTTTTTTTGGTAAAAAGGCAAATCAAAGCACTGAGTAATTGATCTACTCACTATCCGTGATCATAACAATTGATTTAATATTTTTTGAGTTATAAAACTTGCAAAATCAAAAGTTACAGTATGTAAGAATAGGTTAAGACACAGGATTTAGAGACTGTTTACATGGTCAATTTAGCAGATGAAAAAAAACATTTAATGAATAAGCCTTGAGTGCAAAAAAGAAGAAAGTGCGTCTCTCAACTGTGCATATTTGCTTATAACAAGCTTGTTTTCATTATGAGAGTCAATGCATGAAGTAGTCAGAAATTTTACTCAAGAGTAGTAATACTTTGTCATGTTTGTACTCAAGTAAAAGAGAAAAGTACAATTCTGTAAAATGAATTCTAGAAGTACATTCTGTAAAAAAGGTTACTCAAGTAAATGTAACTAGTTACTACCCACCTCTAGGGGATGTTTACAGAACCATCAGTTTTGCTGCAAATAGTCAACAGGGTATCAAAAATAATTTGTAATAAAGATGCAAATTAACTGGCAAAGATTTGAGAAGAATCAAATGTGAAGCTACCAGGAATCCTTTATCCTTCAGTGCTTTCAAATTCCAGAGCTGTGACCTACCTGGAGTGAAGTGTTTAGTACCCAAAGATACGGCAAAGGTAAGGGAGATTGAAATCCGAACACCAATGAACAAGGCTCATAAGTTAAAACATCAAGACTGAGCCAACAAATATCTGAAGACAGATTTTTCTAAGTTTTTATAGACTGGCGAGATGAGAATGATTCTGGATGGACCATTTAGATGGACCTGTGGCTGGATCAGTAATGGGCACAGAGCTCCACTTCATATCAGACATAAGCAAGGTGGAGGCGGGGTACTGGTATGGGCTTTTATTATTACAGATAGACTAATTTGACCTTGAAGATGGACTCAAACTCTACTCTGAAGCTCTCAGTGTTTAGGAGACACTTTCTTTAAGAAGGGGTACATGTAAAAAATCTGCATCGTTCAAGAAGAAATTGATCTTTATGCAGGACAATGGACCATCATACGCATTGAAGTGCTGTGGGGCTATCCAGTAAATAAAAATGAAGTCCCCTTCCTCACCTGACCTAAATGGGAGATCTATATAGTGAACGAGAACAGTTGACCCCTCTGAATAGAGTCTGGGAGGGTGTGGTTGCTGCTGCAGTTCAACCTACACTCATGTATTCAACAGATTGCATGAATGGAAGTTGCTAACTATCAAATAAAAATAAAAATGTGTATTTGTACATTTTGAGTTGTTTTTTTTATTAACCCCACTTAGAGATGGAAATAAACAAGTATGATGTGAAAATGTTCATTATTAATTTAATATGATAATTCTGCTCACTGATAGTTGCCCTATAATTTTGCACACATAGATATTCTCCTAAGAAAGACAAAATCTCACTTTTCTTTTACATATTAAAGGTATGGTGGGGGATGTTCTTTTTTTGGTTGGATAATCAAAATACGTGGTCCTCCTGATTGTAATTCATTCTGGTGATATATTTAGATAAGGCCGTCCTTTGTGCTCGTCCCCATTTTCACTTACTGGTGGTGAGTCTGACATAGTGGAAAAATTGAAAATCTTCTTTTGATAAGTAAGATTGTATGAGCCATGCAAACAGCAACTTTTAAACAGCGTGCACGAGCAGAAATGGGCTTGTGCACGCTCTTGCAGGCGTTTAATAAGCATTCCCTCTCGGGACCAGGTACAGGGTTGTGCATGTGCAATGTTTTCTTAAATGGAGTGGGCAGGTCTTTTCAAAAATTTGTGAAAATTCTCCACTATACCTTTAAGGTTTGGGTTTTTTAATTTTTTTTTATTTATCCTTTATTTAACCAGGTAATACCCATTGAGATTAAAAAACTCTTTTGCAAGGGAGACCTGGCCAAGATAGGCATCAAAATTACATCACATCATTACATAGGTACAAAGACACACACATAAAAGCCAAATATGCACTTACCATCAAATTTCAATTAAAACATTGACATGTAAGGGAATCCAACTCAAAACATCTCATTCTCAGCTTTAAAGTATTCAAAGGAACCAATTTACTAAGTTTCAAGTTATTTTGCTGCAAATTCCATGTAAAGGGAGCAGAGTAAGCAAAGGCCTTTTTACCCAGCTCAGTACTGACACGTGGGACAGAAAACGTGTTGTTTATTAACATTTCTGTTTGAAAAAAAAAAACCTACTTAGGTTTTTAAATAAAATCAACCATCAAAACTACAATGTGGCTAATAATGGTGTATACACTTTCCATCTGTTTAATTGCCTCTAACACTTGGTGCCTTTTTTAGATCTCAGTAGTTAAGTTTTTGCTTGTCGTAGAGGAGCTCTCTTCAAATCCCCAACATTTTTTCCCCAGACACATTTCCTTCAATGATTAACCCATTCATTTATATTGGGCTTAAAACTCTGGATCTCTGAAAGTAAATCATTTTTGCCAAAAACAAACATTTTGGACCACTTCAAAAAAAAAGACATAATCATGGTTTAGCTGATTACATCATCTAAAGAGATATATGGTACTATT